CCTGGTGGTCAGAGAAAATGTGTACTTGTTGAAGGCTGCATCTTCTCAGGAGTAACATCAGAGGATGTACACTTCAGGGGAATTAGATTTCACTAAACTAGTCTAGCCCAGTGGTCGGCAAACCGCAGCTCGCGAGCCACATGCGGCTCTTTGGCCCCTTGAGTGTGGCTCTTCCACAAAATACCACGTGCAGGCGCACACGTACAGGGAACATTGTGGAGTGAAAGAAGATGTAGTGTCGAGGATTGAGAAAGGTATGTTGAGATGGTTTGGATATATAGAGAGGATGGACAAAAGGAGATAGACGAAACAAGTATACAAGACGAGTGTGGATGGAAGAGTTGGAAGGGGTTGACCTCAGCGAACGTACCTCAGTCAGATTGAGGATGTTTTTAGCAAAGGCCAGCTTAGGAGCACCCTAATTAAGTTAATAACAATGTACCTACCTATATAGTTTAAGTTTAAAAAATTTGGCTCTCAAAAGAAATTTCAATCATTGTACTGTTGATATTTGGCTCTGTTGACTAATGAGTTTGCCGACCACTGGTCTAGCCAAATTTACAGAAATAGAAAATGCAATTCTAAAATTCATATATAGCCACAAAATACCCTGAATAGCCAAATCAATCTTGAGAAAATAGAACAAAGTCATCACACTCCTTGGTATCAAAATATATTACAAAGCTACAATAGTCAAAATAGTCTGACACTGGTATAAACACAGACATATAGAACAATGAAACAGAATATATAGGACGGGAAACCATAAAAATATTAGAGGAATCCACAGGCAGCAAAATCTCAGACATATGCTGAAGCAATGTCTTCACTAATACTGCTCCTAGGGCAATGGAAACTAAAAAGAAAATAAACAAATGGGACTATATCAAAATAAAAGGCTTTTGCACAGCAAAAGAAACCATCAACAAAACAATAAGAAAGCCCACTGCATGAGAGAACATATTTGCCAATGTTATCACTGATAAGGGTTTAATCGCCAACATCTACAGGGAACTCATACAACTTAACAAAAGGAAGATAAACAACCCAATCAAAAAATGGGCAAAGGACCTAAATAGATACTTTTTGAAAGAAGACTGAAGGAAGGCCAAGAGACATATGAAAACATGCTCAAAGTCACTAATCATCCAAAAGATGCAAATCAAAACGACCATGTGGTTCCATCTCACACCTGTCAGGATGGCTCTCATCAACAAATCAACAAATGACAAGTGCTAGGGAGGATGCAGAGAAAAAGGAACCCTTGTGCACTGCTGGTGGGAATGCAGACAGGTGCAGCCACTGTGGAGAACAGTATGGAGTTTCCTCAAAAAACTAAAAATGAAACTCCCATTTGACCCAGTGATCCCACTTCTAGGAATATATCCCAAGAAACTAGAAACACCAATCAGAAAGGATATATGCACCCCTATGTTCATAGCAGCACAATTTACCATGGCTAAGATTTGCAAACAGCCTAAGTGTCCATCAGCAGATGAGTGGATTAAAAAACTGTGGTACATCTACACAATGGAATACTACATTGCAGTAAAAAAAGAAGGAATTCTTACCATTTGCAACAGCATGGATGGGACTGGAGAGCATCATGCTAAGCGAAATAAGCCAGTCAGAGAAAGATAAATATCACATGATCTCACTCATTTGTGGAATATAATGAACAACATAAACTGATGAACAAAAACAGA